TGGCCGCAGGCTGGAAGAATAAAAAATAAATGAAAAAACTAATTAAAAGTAGATAATTAAACTATAAGGAACTGGGCAATGCTGCTTGTAACTTGGTCCCTTCATTGTCCACCCCTTTGTGCTATAGAGTTTTTATATTTCCATGGGCTCCGGTGCCATCGCGCTTTTACATGAGATATACATCAAGTTCGCAGGAAGTGGTCTCTCTTAGTTTTTAGGTTTTTCCCGCAGACGGCGTCCAGGCTGTTTATTTATTTTTTATAATATGTGCTTTATTGGCAGGCCCGCACGGACCAGTCACATCGCGGGGCGGCCTGGAGCGCGGCAAAAAGTTTCTCGCCGTTGTAAATCACCGCTGGAATTCTCCTTTTTCCTTTTTAGCAACATACTTCAAATAACAATAAAAATATAAAGAATAACAGAAAACGGCTTCCCTTAGCAGAGGAATGCCAGACTTAAAAAAAAATTATAATAATTCTAAAAAAAAGTGATTAAAAATGATAAAACTAAGCGGGAATTTGTCGTCTCCTAGTTTGTGTGTTTTTGTTTTTTCCCATTGTGCCAGTTAGGGCCGTAGAAGCAAGACCTGAATGGATGGGGACAGGGAGGAGTTGTGCTGAGTCCCAAGCAAGCCTCGCAGCAAAGCTTCGCATTATTTGTTTTCTTGTAAGTAGATGATGTGGGGACGGCGCCTGGAATAGGAGGAGGGGCCTGGCACCGGTTGGCGGGTGCCGGGGTTCCTGGACGCTGCACTCCCAGTCTGGCCGGTGGGGCTCAGCGGTAGTTATGTTGCATAGTGGTCGAAGCTGCCCAGGTACTCCAGTGCAGCCCTGTAGCACAGCTGATACTGGTCCTGCGAAGAGAGGGGACACGGTCAGGGACAAGGATTCAACAAAACACAACTTTATAAATAAACTCCCACACAGGGGTGTCATTAGACGTCTGCTGCGCGGAATGGTTGTGAGATGCAAGCCCTCGGCATACTTGGGATGGGTTGGCATCCTGGCAATACGTGTATGGCCCTTGCATATCACCCCCACCCAACTCTTGGCAACCTGGGATGTCCTGCCCAGCTCCTGGCAACCAGTGACATGACGGGTTGCTAAGAGCTGGATGGGCAGATGTGTATGGCCTTTGCATATCTTCCCATCTGGTTCTAAGCAGCCTGGGACCTACACAGTGGTGTCCCTAGACTTCTTGCAGTCTGGTGCGGAGAGGTTGTGACGCATGGCAGTCATGCTGCCCTCTGTAGACTTGGGATGCTCTGGCTGGTGTCTTGCTCAGCTCCTGGCAACCAGTGACGTGTCATTGGTTGCCAGGAGCTGGGTTTGGACGCCGGCCAGAGCATCCCAGATTGCTAAGAGCTGGGCAGCAAAATGTGTATGGCCCTTCCATATCTCCCTGCCCAGCTATTGGCAACCAGTGACATGACTGGTTACCAGAAGCTGGGCAGGTAGCTGACCAGGGAATCCCAGGTCGCTAAGAGCTGGGCGGCAAGCTGTGTATGGCCCTTGCATATCTCCCTGCCTGGCTCTTAGCAATCTGGGCTGCTCTGGCTGTCATCCCGGCCAGCTCCTGGCAACCAGTGACATGACTGGTGGCTGGAAGCTGGGCAGGTAGCCGACCAGGGCATCCCAGGTTACCAAAAGCTGGACAGGGAGATGTGTAGGATCCTTGCATATCTACCTGCCTGGCTCTAAGCAACCTTAGCCGCTCTGGCTGTAAAGAGGTATTGTGCAGCACAGTGGCCACTACCAATAAGCATGCCACTTTGCCATCCCCTCCCACCAGCCATGATCTGCCTGCAGTAGACAGAGACGCACAGAGCCTAGTGAAGACATTGCTGGATCTCTATGCAATGCAGGCAGATCAGAGGTTATGTAATGAAACAGGAAAGGTGTTTTTTTTATTTTATTAGGATCCTGATGAGGGGGGAACCAGGGAAGGCGAAATGTTAGCAGACAAAGTGCACTTATGGTTAAAACTCTATCAGGTGAACAATGTGGGGGACTCACCTCTGTCTGTACCATGGCTGGCCTCTGTGTTCTTAGCGTCTTCACGGTCTGAAACATGTCCACCACTCCCTCGTACCTCATCCGCTCCAACACGATGCTGAGTGTGATGAAGACTCCGGTCCGGCCCACGCCAGCGCTGTAAAAATAGAACAGGTCGTCACAAATGGCACAAGACAATCTATTTACACATCTCTATGAGCCCAGAATTCAGCCTTTGTCTCTATGTGAGTGTTAGAGCAGAACTCCGGCCGAAAAGCTAAAGGGTTCAGACTCTGTATTGAGTTGGTGGCCATGTCCCCTTTATTATTATTGCAATGACAACTATACCTGGTATCCACAGCTCTGCTCCCCAGTAGGGTACCTCCTGTTGCCTTTCCTTGATCTACAACTACTTTGATCAAGGAGTTAGCTG